GGCGATGCGGGTTATGCCGATCTGGAAACCGACTATGCGGTAAAGGCTCTCGGAGCGGTGGCTCCGGCGGTGCTGGAGGAGTTCTCAGTGGCCCTCTCGGCCCAGGGGTGTCCCACTCCTCATCGGGCTCATCATATGGATTCGCCCTACGAGTGCCTTTGCCGCTCGACTTTCCTCCTTCTACTGTGGAAGGGGCACCACGACCTGGCGGCGGGTGATCTGGATGCACAGGCCTTGTAGGCACCGGTTCGGGAGCTGGCCTAGTCGTTTCCGGCTCTGCCTCAGGAACTGTGTCCTGGCGTGCACGGCCTCGTCCCCACCGGGAGAGTCTCGCAGCCTGTGCTGGCTCGCTGCGATCTCTCGGGTTACTAAGAACCCGGCGATCACGATCGCGGGTGCGATCGCGGACGGAGCCTCTGCGCTCGTCCACGTAGGATCTGTCCCTACGGTCTCGCGACCTGTGTCTGTCGCGGTCGGAAGAGGAGCTGCGTCTCCGTCTTCTCGAAGAGCGTTCATCTCGCATCTGTATGATGCGGGCTTCGGCGCGCTCGGCCCTCCGACGCTCCTCATCTGCCCTTCGACGCTCTTCGTCGAGTTCTTCCCAGGCCTCGTTATGCTGTCTACGAGTCTCATGCAGCTGATCGCGTAAGTCAGCATTTTGCGACTCCAACATATGGTTGGCATCCGTCAGGTCTTTGACCTGAGACTCAAGCGCACGCATCGTAGCGGTAGTGGTCGGCGCAGCCTTCACTGGCACATCACTCACCACTGTGGGTGGCTTTGCAGCTGCCACAGCCTTATTGGCTGGCATCGCCTTACTACCACTGGCCTTAGCCTCGGCCTTAGGGGGCGGCCCCACGCTAGTAACATAAACGGCAGAAGGTATCGGATACCCTTTTGGCTCGTTCACGGTGCGGTTCATAGCACCGGTTAGGCTGTCAGGATTGTATTTCGCCACATACTGCGTGTGTGGGTCTTGCCTGCCAGGCCCATGCGCGTGGCGGCCTGCGTGGCGGTCTCTCCGAGTCTCGGAGGCTGATCAAGCAGCGAAACTCCCTGCATAGGGGTCTGCACGTTTCCGGCTGCGATCTGCTGATCATTAAAAATCTCTGAGTAGGTTCTCGCCCCTCTAGGGCGGGCTGTGGAAGGCTCTACCACCAATGTGGCGTTCTCACGGACTGTGCCGTCGTCGAATACCTTCCGGGCAAATGCATCACATATGTGAGCAACATGACTGACTATGTCAGCAGTTTTATGTTGGCAGTGCATACACTGCCCCTTGCAGGAATGCTTGCCCATGAAGGGCCATGAGTACGCTGCATTCATATGAGTCAGGCTAATGGAGATATCCGTAAGGCGTCGAATTATATCGAAAAGTAGGATACCGCCTGCAACAGATCTATGTCTGTTCATCTTGCACACTGTGTGTACAGCTACCTGCTGGATACCGGCCTCAATAGCATCTTTGATGTTATTGATGACGTATCGCGCATTCTCAACGAAATTTTCGTGGTTGGTGTACTCCAGTAATATATCTGGGCGGCTGCCCACGTGGAGACGATTCTCCCTGCGCTTATCGTCCGCCGCCTGCTTTTCAGACGGGCTCATCGCCTCCCACGCGTAATCCTCGAGCCACGTCATATCGATGTAGATGACCATAAAGCTCGTCCTCGATGAGGAGGTCGTCACATTATATGTGAGCATTTGTTCGTGGTACCTATATAGGTCCTCTCCCGTCCATTTGTCGGAGATTCGGGTTGTCCACTCGTCCTTCTCGGTGCCCCACGTAAAGACATCGACGATTATAGTCGGCGTAGTGGAGCCCACATATGCAGGACGTAGCACCAAATCTGGGTTGTATACAGTGCCCGGACGCGGAGTGTCAAGCCAAGGGCCATGTATATTGTGCACCTTGAGTAGGACCAGATCTCGACCATGTGGGTCGGTCGGCTTGTCGTGATGAAACCGCGCTGTGGCGGCGTTATGACGTTCAGTCTGCTTCGGATGTGCTATGCTCCGAGGTTGAGGATCATCACCTGATCCATAGCGGGTATCAATCGGCCTAACTGTCGCCGACGCTGCGGAACGCTCCCCTGGACTATACCCAGGCGGTGGAGCCTTAGGCTTCGCCGGTGCGATGTCCGGAGGCGCAGACTTCACAGGGATTGTACCCTGGCTTGCACCAGTGAGGATCGGCGGGGCCGCCTTCGGCGCTATGGCCGAGCTAATTGGCGCGCCGGGGACTGTGCCACCGGGCTTGGCACGGCTCACTGCACATGGCGGTGCCTTCTTGGGCGGACGCTCAGTCATGCCTACCGG